ACTGGCGCGGTGTGAGGAAGCCCCAGAAGGGGTGGGCGTAGGGCATCGGGGACAGCGGCGGCATCTCGTCCTCTTCCTCCTCTTCGTCCGCATCCCCCAAGGGCAGAGGGATGTCCAGGGAGGGCGGCAGGGGCACCTCCAGCTTCTCCTTCCCGAACAGCTTCACTTGGGGCCGGGGGAACAGGCGGAACCTGCGGATGAGGGACAGCTTGGACCTGGCGGGCTTGTCCATGCCGTGCTGCTCGAAGAAAGCAGCGCTGGGCAGGCGGAAAGAGGTGCCCTGCCGCTCGCCGCCCGCCTCCTCGGGCTCCTCCAGCTCCGCGATGTCATCCATGGGGTGGGCGTACGGGTTGTGAGGCGACAGGATGGGCGGTGGCACCCATGGATACGGGAAGGCCGACGGCTCCGGCTGAAGATACGGCGCCTCGGGGGGGTAGATGGCCTGGTCTCCGCCACCATAGATGCCTTCAGCGTAGGGGACGCCCTGGGAGGCGCCGTAGGGGGCGCCGTAGGGCACGGCGTAGGGGTCCAGGTAGGGCGCGGCGTACGGAAGTTCGTACGCCAGGTCGTCCGCGAGGTCGTAGGGCGGGTAGAGAGCGTCGGAAGCGGCGTAGGAGTCCAGGTAGTAGCCGTGCGGCGGCGCCGCGTATGCGTCGTAGTTGCCGTGGGGAGATGAGGGCCGCGACGGCGGCGCGTAGGGCGGCTCATAGTCGCCGTAGTCGCCGTAGTGGCTGTAGCCATAGGCGTAGTCGGGGTGGAAGGATCCGCCGTAGTAGTCGTACGGGTCCTCCGGCAGGTACCCGCGCAGGTGGTCTCCGTAGGGCGGCCAGGCCGGGCCGCGGGGGCCGTGGGCGCCCAGGGAGGGGTCCTCCTCGTACTGGTACAGCGACTGCTGGTCGTAGTAGTCGTCGCCCTCGCGGTGGTAGTCGTAGTACTCGCCCAGGTCCTGGAAGCCCTCGAGCCCGTAAAGCGACCTGCGGGAGCCTGAGTGCCGGAACGGGGCCTCGTCCTCGAAGGGCAGGAAGCCCACGGGCTCGCCCGACGCGTAGATGCTGTGGGCGCGCGGGAACCTCCGCAGGCGGCCCCCGGGCCGCAGGATCTCGGCGCCTGACGGGAAGGGCAGCTTGCGCGAGCCCACGCGGGAGTCCGAGCGGTCCAGCCAGGCGTCCAGCGTGGCCTGCGCGCTGCCCGACTCCTCGGCCTTCTTGATGAGGAACTTCTTGGTGAGCCAGTTGATGGCCGTGGACGCCTTGCTGAGCGACCGGGCGCGTGGGCGCAGGCGGCCGTAGCCTCGACGGCCCGGGAAGCGGATCACCATGAAAGACGGCTTCTTGCCCTTCATGGCGCGCTTCTTTTTGCCCACGCGCATCTGCGTCATGAGCTTCGACGTGGACTTGAGCACGGTGCGTGCCTTCTTCTTGCGTTTGGTTTTCTGGGGGCCGGTGTGGAGGCCCCAGAAGAAGGCTGACGCGCTGCGGAACTGGCCCTTCTTGGAGATCTTGGGCGTGCGGTCGCGGAAGCCCATGAACAGCCGCGACGTCCCCTTCAGGCTCCGTTTGGGCTTCTCCGGCTCCGGCGCCTTCTTCGCCTTCTTCCCTTTCTTGGCTTTCTTCTCATCCTCTTCTTCCTTCGCCATGGTGGCCACCCGCTTCCTGATCGGCCGGGTCCGATGTCACAAGCTCAGAGCCTTGGGAACACGGGGACCTGCTGGGTCTCCTGCCCGTGGCTGGACATGCAGCCTCCTCGGGCTTGGAGCAGCCAGGACTGGCCTCGGTGGCCTGGGGAGGGATGGCCAAGCTCCTTCTGGCCAGGACCAGGATTTCAAGAGGGCAGATCCATAATTCATCTCCTCGCGATGCCGCCTAGGGTTTCACTCTCAAGCCTACTGGAGGCGCGTGGGTATCGTTTACTGGAGGCCAGGGGAAGCCTGGCGGGCCTGTGCTGGCAGAGACCACCTCAGCCTTAGAGTCCCCATGAGGCCCAGTGTGCTGACCCCAGTCAAGCCCTCCCCGAGCCCCCGCCGGCTCGCCCACCGAAGAGAGTGCTCGGGTCAGTGTCACATCACGAAGAACTGAGCCCTGGAGAGGGGCAGCCACCCGTCCTGAGTCACCCAGCACACTGTGCGGGGCCACAGGTGGGGCCACGTCTCCTGAGCCAGGGTGGGACGTTCAGAGCCCACCAAGGCACCTTGGAGGCGAACCTGGGACCCTCCAGGTCCTGGGAAGGGGAGGAGAGGGGCGGGCAGGGCAGGTGCCCAGGGCTACGGTCAGTGTAACCAGAGCTGGCCAGCCCTTGGGAGCGTGAATAATTTATTGGGGAGAACCAGGCTGCTGGCTCCGAAGGCGGGGCGCAAAGAAGGCACCATGGAGCTCCAGCTGGGCTTGTAAGGCCACTGCCTGGCCAAGGTGAGGAGTGCGGAAGAGCAGAGACAGAGGGTGGGGCTGGCCTGGCTGTGATCCCGAGCTCTGCCGCTGCCTGGCTCTGTGGTCTCAGGAAAGCCCTCTGCCCTCTCTGGGCCTCAGTCTCTTCATCTGGAGGATGGGAGTGATAACCTTGCCCTGTCTCCTTCCCAAAGAGATGGATGTGACAGAGTTGCCTGGCAGGGTATGTGGTGTCCCTACCTGGCCCTGCCTCTCCTCCCAGTTTCTGCCCCTGCTGAGAAAGCGGTGGCCATGTGGTCCTTGCCTCTCTGGGTGCAGCTGATTCCTCCAGGGTGGACACTTGACCTCAGGCCATGTGCCCAGTCTGGCCAGTGACCAGATCGCTTTTAAAACTCTACTGTAAGAGGTAGGGCTTGTTAGACAGAGGGGGGTGGGGGCAGAACGTAGAGGTAGCAGTTGTAGGACCCGAGGCCTCAGGAGCACCTCACTTCCCCCCCGCATCCTGTCACTCTCTGCTCTTCCTCCCCCAAGAGCCAGTCGGCGCTCTGCAGTCCTGGAGGTGGTGCTAAGGGCTGGTGGCGTCTGCTGCAGGTGCCCCGGGGAGTGGAAGCGGCACTTGATGGACACTGGGAAATCAGGGGTGGGGTGGACACAGGAACTGGGCCTCTGCCGCGGGGGATTCTGGGCTGGGGCCGCTGCCCGCTTGAGGAAAACGAGGGGCAGGGGTTTCACCCTTTCTGAGCCCAGAGATGCCCCTACCCCCCAGTGCTCCTTCTGGAGCCGGTGTCCAAATTAAGGCCCCGGCCACCATGATCGTGAGAGACTCTCACAACGGGGGTGGGGTGGGAAGTATGATCTCCACTCTCTGGGGAAGGAAACAGCCTCCGAGAGGTGAAGTGACTTGCTCAGGATCAACCAGCTTGAGGTGGGGTGGGTCCCGGGCCACCTTCCTTGCTAGGCCCGGGGAGGAGAGGCAGGGCCAGGTAGGGACACCTGCCTGGCACCTCTGTCACGTCCATTCCTCTGTGAAGGAGACAGCAGGGTTATCACTCCCTAGGCCCTGGGCCTTGCTTGCCTCCAGGCTCCTGGGTGCTCGGGCCCTCATGTGGGAGGGGAACAGCTCTGACCCTGGGCGGAGCTGACTGCAGAGCCTGGGCCTTCCGGGAGTTCCGGGCTGCAGGGCCCTGCTCAAACCCCTGGGAAGTCGGCCTGTATCCCTGTATCCCTGCTTGGCCTGCCCCCCCTCCCCGCCCCCCCCCCCCAGGAGCCTGCGGCTGGCACACGTTGGCTTGTTAGTTCATTCACTTGTTCGGAGGTACTTGATGTTTGGAAGCCCACTGTGCACCAGACACCAAGCACCAGGGACACAGCTAAGGAGGAAACAGAAACCTGCCTCAAGGTGCTGACACTTGGCGCAGCGACGGCAACAAACAAGGAAAGAAGCAAAAGACAAGTAGGTCAGGTGATGTAAGTGCTGGTGGTGAGATAAAGCGGGGAGGTGGGTGTGCAGTGCTGACCAGGGGCTGGCCATGGCTCCTGGGAGTGACCCAGGCCGAGAGCTGTGGAAGGGGAGGGACAGAGGCCTCGGGGAGCACGAGGGTCCTGACGTGCCGGAGGAACAGCAAGGCCAGTGGAGTGGAGGCAGGTGGCGGGCTGCAGGTGGACTTGCAAGTCATGAGCACCGCAAGGTTTCCATACTGAACGGGCGGGGGCGGAACGGAGGGGCTGGCAGCCGAGGGGGAAGGCCATGGGCTGGACGTCGGCCCCCCACGTGGTGGCTTCGGATACCCGTTGTATGAGGAGTTGTGGGAACTGCACAGATGGGGCTGACGGCACCCTTCAGGGAGTCAGTCCTCCGAGATGAGGTGAGTGGCCTGGGACAGACGCTTTGGGGCGACTGGGACGTCCAGGTGGAGAGTCAGGCGGGTGGCTTAGGCCCGTAGGTGGGGTGAGACAGAGGTTGGGGGTGATAGGTGAGGCTGTCTAGATGAGGCACAAAGAAGGGGGTGCCCCCAGCTCCAGCCCTTAAAGACCGTGTGGCCAGGCAGTGGGGAGGGGCTGCCGCCAGCTGTGCCTAGGGGTGCGAGCCGGCCGTGTGAGTGAGGTTAGAATAGTGTTTCAGCAGTGGGGGCGTTGGGCCTTGCCAGGAGCTGTCCTGGAGGCACGTGGAGAGGGCTGAGGGCTGAGGAAGGTGGACTTGGTAGAGCCAAGCCGTGACGGCTCCAGGGCAGGGGGGTGGCCGCAAAGAATGATGTGGGGGGGGTGCCTAAGCGAGAAGACAGCCAGCTGCAGGCCAAGCAGAGAGGCCTTGGGAGAAACCAACCCTGCAACACCCTGACCTCCGACTTCCGGCCTGCAGGACCGTGAGGATATGACATCGGCTGTTCAGGCCACCAGCCTGGGTACCTGTTATGGGGTCCCCAGCGACTCACGGGCCAGCAGGAAACCAGCGGGGCAGACCCAGGAGGGAGAGCGAGAAGGGGGAGGCTGAGCGGCCCTGTGGAGTGGGGTGGGCATGCTGCCGCAGAGGGGGTGCTGCAGGTGAGTGTGGGGTGTGGGGGGCGAAGGGTTTTCCAGCCGGGGCTCAAGGTGGGCAGAGCCGGTCCAGAGGAGCTGCCAAGGGAGCCAGAGGGGCCGGCGCTGCGGGGAGACATGAGTGCAGGGAGCGCAGCTGGAGCCGGGCCCAGACAGGGGGGTCTCGAGGACAGGCGCGCCTTGGGATTTTTGCCAAAGGTTTCTGAGATGGGGATGTTCAGGGTCTGAGCTGCAGAGGGAGGGTCGGGGATGGACAGTCACGCCCTGGGCCCTCCGGAAGCACAGCCCTGCTGTCTGGGGACAGGCTGAGGTGAGGTGTGGGCACTGCTGGCCTTCAGACAGACAGCCCGGCCGTCCAAGCGTGTCATCCTGGGCAGAGCCTCCCTGCACAGAAGGCCAAGGAGGGTGGGTCACAGGAACAGGGGGGCGCCTGCGGCAGAGAGCTTTGGGAGGTGGTGGGGGAGCTTCTCAAAGCCTAGGGACGCCTCCCCCATCACGAGTTCACACAGACGCGGCCTCACACAGGCTGGACGGTAACCATCCTGACCACAGAACCAGAAGACCAAGCACCCAACACAGAGACACACAGACGCAGCCCAGGAACAAGCCCATCCAAGGGGGAGAGACAGGGCCTGGCGGCCAGAGCCTGGGACGCTGCCTGCCTGAGCCCGCACCGGCCCAGGACTCCAAGGCCTCCAGCTTCACCTGCATCTTTTCCCAGCCTGCCTGGGGGACAGAACAGGCCTGGTTTTGACAACCTGTGAACCCAGGGCATCTCCTTACCTGTGAGGCAGGAGGCGGTACTGACCATCACCCAGGCAGAAACCCTCCCACGGGACCCTGTGGCCAGGCCTCGTGGCACCATCGCCAAGAGGCAGACTGTGGGCATCACCGCGCTCGTCTTACAGACAAAACTGAGGCCCACAGAGACCTCACAGTGAGGTGGGGGCCAGGCCCCAGCTCGGCCACCGCCCTCTCCTCTTCCCCTGCCACCTAGGGGCTCGTGGCCGACCCCAGTGGCCCAGGGAGTCTCCTTACCTGGGCCCCGTGGCCTGCTCCCTAACCGCATGCCGCCTGCGGGGGTCCTCGGCGGGCCCAGATGAGCTGTGCTGTGGGAGGGAGGCCCAGCCCACCACACTGACCGCCTGGGGCCCCATGCATGTTTAATGAGTTCTATTATTCCTGTTTTGTCACTGGAAAGGAGCCTGAACAGCTGACAGAGGAGCCAAGAACAGCCAAGGGCCAAGCAGTGGCTCACGCTCCAACCTGGTGCCTGGACCCCGGGGCCTCCCTGCTCCTCTGACCGGCCCAACGCCAGGCAGCATCACAAAGCCCGTGACCCTGTGCCCCAACAAGGTACACCTCCACCAGGAAGCCGTCTCTGAGGAAGCCCTGGCCTGAGGTTCAGATCCCAGTGCCGCACGTACAAGCTGTGCGGCCGAGGCCCCCACCCTGCCAGCTGAGATGTGTCCACTCTCCCCTGGGACCTTCCTAGGGGTGCTGCCCACCTCGGCAGCCAGCCGTGGGAGTCGCCACACCTACAGCCCTGGCCAGCCCTCCGGAGCACAGCCCACCCTGGAGGAGCCTGTACCCCAGCTTGGGCCTGCTCCCGCGGGGCCCAGGCCTCCCCACACCCCAATCACTAGGCTCCCTGCTGCCCCGACCCAACCTGGCACCCAGTTCCTCCAACTTATAAAACTGTCCTCAGGGAACAGGAATTGTCCTCATCCTTTATTTCAGGAAGGGGAGCTGAGGCGGGGGACTTAGAAAACCCAGAGTCCAGGCCACAAAGCCCCCACCCCAGCTGTCTGCACAGGGTCTCGGTCCCAGGCTTTGTGCCAGGCAAGGGCTGCTCTGAGAGAGGGCGGCCCTTCTGGACCTTTAAGGCCCCGGACCCCTGGCTTCCATCATGGGGCAGACTCAGGGCAGGGGCGTTAGGGGCTTCTGTCCTGGGAGGCCCCCTCCCTGAGAACCAGAGACGCTGGCCGGAGCTGAGGGACCCCCACAGTAACTACTGCCTCCCGGGGCGCAGGCAGACCCAGCTCTGAGCATGCCCTCTGCACGGGGCCGCGGCCGTAGGTAGGTGGGCAACTTGATCCCTCGGTGCCCGTGGGAGCCGGGGCCAACCCAGCCCGTGCCCCCAGCCCGTCCTGGTGCCCTAGCACACTCTTCATCATCTGCCCACTGAAGAGACTTCTGGACACAGCAGAGACTTGAGAGCCCCCTTCCTGGGATGTATTTGTATCTTCCCAGTTTGGGCTCCAGGGGGTGCAGGGCGGGGGTGCTACTTCTTCACGATCTGGATGACATCCTCGTGCTCCATGGTGTGTGTCAGGCCCACCCGCTGCGGGCTGTACTTGGTGCTGGTGCCCTGGGTGGGGAGCAGGACACGGGCTGCATCAGCCTCTGCACGCACCCGGCAGGAGCTTCCCGGGAGCAGGGCAGGGGTCACAGCACCAGCGTAACAGCAGGGCTCCTCCAAAGCGGGAGGCCCGTGTCCAGCCTGGGTCGGCCTACACACTTCACCCGCCCCCCACCTGAGACTCACCCACACCAGTGCGTACTTGAACTGGCTGGCGAGTGATCGGTGGATGCGGTGGCACTGGGGGATGGGAGAGAGTCGGGCAGTGAGATAAGACTGCACCCAGCCCCGCAACCAGCTTGGCCCCACGCCTGAGCCCTGGGCACGTGCCAAGAAGCAGCCATTTCTCAGGTGGGCGCTCCGACGGCACCAGGGCTTGGCCACCATGCAGCCTTGAGCTCATGGCTGCAGGTGCTCTGACGCTCCCACTGCCCACCTCCAGGTCAACCGAGGGCTGTGTGCCCAGTTAGAATGTTCCTGCAGCCACTGGATGAAGGTCTGGACCTGGTGGGCAGTGGCCCTCCACTCGCCTTGCCGGAGCAGCAGCCCTGACAGGTGCTCCTCGGCGGGGCAAGAGTGGTTTTCAGGACCTGGAGTCCCTGCCCTGGTCGCTGCCTGTCACACCTCCCACCATAGCAGGTGTCAGCCTAGGGCCCGCTGGGGGCCAGGAGAGCGTCAGGGAGCCCCATCGGCTCACCACGTGCTCCACGGAGGCCCCTTTCCGGAGGATGATGGCGTCTGTGAAGTCCGGCCTCTCTGCACAGGGTTGGGGGGGGTCGACCAGTCAGGGCCTACACTGCCATGCGGTTCCCTCCACAGGGAATGGAGCCCCACGCCGTCTCCTGACCACCCCCAACTCCTTGGCACGCCCCCAAGAGCTCCGAGCAGTCTATAGCCTTGATGCGACATAGAAAACCAAAACACACCCAAGTGCAGGGTGCAGCCCGGGCAGCGCCGGCCGAGGGGGGCCAAAGGGCGGTCACGTTTCCCTCAGCCTCCCCAGGCTCAACCGCCAGGCCCCAGGCTGTGCTGCGTGCACAGAGGTGGGGTATGGGGGCGGCTCCTGTGTTCCCAATCCCCTGAGGCCCTGACGTGGGGTCTCTGCCTCAGAGCAGCCCCTCACCCAGGCCTCCCCCGCCAGGGCACCCCAACACCGGCCGCCCCAGGACTTGGCATCTCTGCTGTAAGGGCTCAGGCCAAGGTCTCTACCGGGGTGGGGCGGGGGCAGTGCCACCTCTGAGACGGGAGAAAAGCGTGTCCCGTAAAGACTAGCCGGGCCGGGCCCCCGGGGGGGGAGCAGCTCAGCCCCCCTCTCGGCTGCGTGCTTCCTGACTCACGGCCTCTCTTCTTGGTGTAGATGCAGGTGAGGGCCAGGTACTCCCACAGCACTTCCAGCAGGTAGTCCAGGTTCAGCTTCATGCCGCAGCTGCCAGGAGGAAGGGGGCGCTCAGGGGACCCCCACAGGCCCAAAGGCCTGTGGCTGAGCCAGCACTGGGGGCACCAAACCCACAGCTCTGATGGCGGCCTCAGCCGCCAACGCCTCCGCCCCAACCACGATCATGCCCGGCAGAGCTGGGCCGTCTCTCCTGCGCTCCGAGGGGGCCTACGGCATCTGTAACTGACGGGGCACCGGGACATGGGGCTTCCCTCCGGGCACCTGCCATGAGGAGACGGGACCCTGGACAGAGACTGATGACCCAGAGCTGCCCTCCCGAGCCAGCAGGGACCTCAGTGATGGAGTGGGCCAGTGTGGTCCTCTGCAGGTGTATCACCCTGAGCAGGGATCCCGAACCCCAGAGGAGGGAGCGTGAGAGGTGCAGGTGTGGTACGTAGGTGCACTCGTGCCCGAGGACGGGGCCTGGGATGCCTGAGCAGGAGAGGGACCGAGCTGTCCCGCAGGAAGGACGCCCACTCTCTGCTGCTCTTTGGGGCAGCCGGCAACACCCAGGAAGTGGTCCTCGCACTCGGGCCAGGACGCTCCCCTACCTGGTCCCGGAGGTCTTGTCTCCTACAAGCCAAGCCTCACTGTGAGGTTACAGAGTGCCTGGGTGGCTAGCGAACCACCGAGGTGAGGCCCAAAGCCAGGCTGCCCCAACAGAAGGACCCGCAGCGATGCTGGGACCTGAGCAACAGCTATAGGCCAGAGCGCAGGCGGCTCCCCAGAACCCACCTGAAAACTTCAATCCCTCCTCCCTCCTGGGTGTGGAGGCAAAGCCACATTTTCCTGCGTGTCAGGAGCAGCGGGCCAATGGCATGGGACTCACTAGGGGTCTGCGCTTCACAACTAAGCCATGAAGCCCCTGACCATCCTCACCCACCTACCTCGGTGGATGCCCACCCGCCATCCACCTGCCTGGCCAGCTCAGGGTGGGACCGGCCAAGGTCACCGGTAGCTACCAGGATGGCCTCCTCTGCCCTGGCCGCGTGCAGGCCCTGCAGGGCCCAGGGTGCTGGAGGCCTGCCGGACGGGCTGGTGCTCAGAGAGGGCAGCCAGGTGCCTACCTGATGACCACACTGTCGGGTTTCCGGGCCAGGCGGTCCACTTCTTCCATCGAGATCTGGTCGATTTTGTTATAAACCTGGGGGTGGAAAGGTGGAGGTGGGTGCTGGGGAAGGAAACGGACAGAGCAGGAAAAGGAACCCCAATGGAGTCTCAAGGATAGGGAGAGGCTGAAGAGACCTGAGGCCCCCCGCCCCCCAGAGAGAGGCCAGACATGTCTGCGGGACTCGAGCAGCCCCTGGGCGGAGGGGAGCCTGTCTCCTGCCGGAGTCAGTCTGGGGCCAGGGCTCTCCCCTCACAGGGTGCCTGGGGGCTGGTGCCACTCACATACAAGCAGGGCATGTAAACCCGGTTGCCCACAATCACATCGATGAACTCGTCTGGGGAGCAGTCTTCGCGGAAGAGCACCTCGGCGTTGAAGATCTCTGAGGGCTCAGGTTAAGGGCAGCCCTACGCCTGCCTCCCTGCGCGCCCCCGCCCCCAGGAGGGCCTGACACAGCCCACCAGGAGACCCTGTGCCGCTGAGCTCGGCTCTGCCTCTAGGACTCGGGACTCGCGGGCCCTGACACTTCGGTGGCGCGCACAGGCCCCTGGTCCTCCCTGAGGCCTCTCCGGCCCAGGAGCCCCGAACTTGGCTGTGACGCCCGCCCTCTCATCTTCCTTCCAGACGTGACCAGCTGCCACGGTGCCTGGACCTGGCAAGGAGCCAGGAGGCCACTGCTGAGTGCGAAGCTGCAGGGCGGCCACCTGGAGCTTGGCGAGCACAGGGCAGAGGGGCCAGTCCGTGTGAGCCGGCGCGCTGTTGTGCTGCGCACGGAGCCGGGGTGGCCGGGCCGTCTGCGTCACCCCCACCCACTGCCCGCCCGAGGGAAGGATACTGTACTCGTGCAGAATCAGCTGCACCAGCTTCTCGGAGCACTGGGTCAGCGTGACTGTCGAGTTAAAGGAGATGCCACCTCCCTTCTTGGGCTGGAGGGGGAGGGGCGCTGCTGATGGGGCAGCGGCCACAGCCTCTGCCTCCACCAGTCCCGGGCGCCCGGCGGCGCCTTCCCGCCCAGAGCCGGAGCCTTACCTTGAAGTAGATGTTGGGCTTGTGCTTGTTGAGACGGATGCCCACCGACTCCAGCTCCTTCTCCAGCAGAGACCTGGGTGGAGCCCCGTGGCCTTCGCAGGTGCCCAGGGCAGGAGGCGCAGCCCCGGGCGACACAGCAAGCCTCCCACCGCCCCCCAGACAAAGACAGGCCCTTCCGCCCTGCTACGTCCCTTCCCAGTAGCCAAGGTCATCAAGGAGGAGCCTGGATCCTCTGCCTTGTGGGCAAAGCAGGCCTCTGGGCGGGTTCTGGGCAGTGGTGAGGGCACCAGGGGCCGCCGCAGGCCGGGGCCAGAGCCGGGACAACACAGCCCACCCCGCCTGACGCCCTGGGCCAGACTCAGGCCTGTCAGAGAGAACGCTGCAGGCTGGCTACACGTGGTTCGGCCTGTGGACGGTCCTGCCACAACTCCCGTGTGAGGGGGCCAAGCGCCTCTTGGACCACCCACCCAGAGCTCAGGGACACACGGACTGCAGCCAATGCCCCCACCACGCCCGGGCCTCCCCAGACGCGCCAGCCTGCCCCGCCCCACCGCGGACCTCTGCACCTCTCCCTTGGTAGCATCCAGCATCATGATGACCACGTCCGCTGTGCGTGCCACGGCGATCAGCATCATGATGACCACGTCCGCTGTGCGTGCCACGGCGATCACCTGCCGGCCGCGGCCTTTCCCTGGTCAGGAGGGAGAGACATGTTTACACAGTGACATGGGCAGAACCGTGTGACCCCCTAGCCCATGGCACCCAGACTCCCGTCCCTTACAGACCCAAAATGGTCTCTGCCCACAGTGACTTCCCTGGCATTTCTCTTTAACCCCCGTGCTGCGTCCTCATGGAGACGTGTCTCAGGAGGAAATCCGACCACCACCTTGGGAGGAGTAGCGTCCCAACCCTCGCTGTGCAGCAGGTCCCCAGCTGAGGCTCCACCACCTCCTCACTCAACCCTTGGAGCTACACTGGGTGGTTGTGTTATCACACCCATTCCATGCACGAGAAAACTGAGGCTTGGCTTAGAGACACTCAACCACGTGCCCAAGATCACAAAGCTACGTGGTTCCAGACATGACTTGCATGCCCTTCCTGGAGCAAGGGCTGCAGGGAGGAGGCAGCAGACAATGCAGCAGGAGGTGCCACAGGAGCTGCCACCAAGGTCAGACCCTGCCATTAAATGACCAGAGAAGGCAGGCACCAGGCCAGGGTCACACAGCAAGACAGGGGCTGACGTTCCAGCACTAGACCCAGGCGGTATGTGTTTCTACCATGACCTGACTCTACTTCAGAGAACGAGGGGGTTGGACTCAGTGATCTCCGAGGGTCGGTGGCCTCCTGACTCTGCAGGGCCCCTATTCAAGCAGGCAGGACCTCGCCCTGATGAGGGTGGTGGACAGCAGGCGCAGAGGGCAGGTGGCACCAGATACCCAAGGAGGAGGCTGTGCTGCCCACAGCCAGAGGCGGGCTCTGACCCCAGCTCTGCACCTGACAGGTGAGAAGTCATTTAAGGCAGACGCTTCAGGTGTCTGTCCCCTAGCTTCCTCCTGGCCTCAGTACTCCCCGAGTCAGCGAGCTGGCTGAGAATGAGTGAGAGGACGGTCAGCACAGAGCCAACGCCCGGCAGCTGCTGGGGACCCCAAGCTGGCAGCCATCTCTGGAGACACTGCGGGCGGCCACCTGCCCCCAGAAGCCACAGACATGTCCCATCCCAGAAAGCAGACTGAAAACGGAGGATGGAGCTCCAGACTAGGAGCACGGACTGAGCCAGGCTCTGACATGTCTGTCCCTGGCAGGGTCCCCCAGGGGTGCAGCGAGCCACTGGCTGGATGGGGGACCTCAAGCCTACCCGGGGAGCTGTGTGACCCTGGGCGAGTCACCCACCTCCTGGGTCTTAGCTCCAGGGCCAGAGGCCCTAAGTAACAGAGCCCTGGGCACAGGGAGGGGACAAGCCCGCCCATCCTGTCAATCCTTGACAGCTGCCCAACACGTGGAGGTAGGGGTCTCCCACCCGCCTGCTCCCACCTCTCACCTTGTGCTGCGCCTTCGATGATTCCAGGGAGATCCAGGAGCTGGATGTTGGCGCCTTTGTACTAGGATGCATGGGAGAGGAAGGTTAGGTGAGAGCTGGTCGGCTGGGAAGGGCCTGAAGCCGGGGCAGCCTCCAGGGCCAAGTCTGAGCCAGTCCCGCCCCAGCCAGGCACAGACCATGCCAGCCTGGGAGGGGCTCTTGAGTTTTCACAAACCCACACACCCAGCGCTGACAGTGACAGCTCTTACAAATAAACCCCTTCACCGCGGGAGGCCCCAGGCCCCAGGCCCCTGGCTGACCAAGGCACCGAAGTTCACGGGAAACAGAAGGCTGGCCAACCAGCCATGGGTGGCCCAAGCTGGGGTGGCGTGGGGCGGCGGGGCACAGCGGGCACAGACAGAGAGGCATGTGTTGCCTGACTCCCGGAACCAGCCAAGACCCCAGGCCTGGCCACTTCTCAGGCCCCGGCAGCCCCCATCGCCAGAGCTGTCAGTGCTTGAGGGCAGAGCAGCTCGGCTGAGACCCCTCCTACACCGGCCCCCAGGCCCCATGGCATACACACCCACAGTCACACACGAGCCTCCTCTGTCCAAGATCCAGCAAACCCCGACTTACCTCAATGACCCCGGGTATACAGGTCAGGGTTGTGAATTCATAGGATGCGGCCTCGCTGGCGGTGGAGGTCATCAGACTCAGGAAGGTGGACTAGGAGAGGAGGAGGCCGTTGCAGTGGGTCCCGCCCAGCCTCCAGGAGAAGCCGGGCGCTGGGAGACCCGCCTTGCCCCCGGCTGCCGTGTGAGGACAGCAGCTGGCAGAGTCCGCGCTGGCCTGCCTGGAGGGTCGGACACCAGAGGGCCCTCTGTTCCCAAGGCCTCAGGCCTGTCTCGGGGGGGAATGGGACCTGGTTTCTAAGGGGGCTCCACAGCTAAATCAGGGGAACCATCCCCCACTCCACAAAACTCTGTGGACCCTCCTGGGCCCCAGAGAACCTGAAGCGGTGACAACCCCCAGCACCCAAAGCTCCACAGGGAAGGGCAGGGAGGTATGGACCCTCCAGCCTGAGACAGGGAGGGACAGGTGAGCGAGGCGGGGGTGTGGATGGGAGCGGGGCTGCGGCTCAGCCTCTGCTGGGGACCCTGGGCGAAATGCTCGGTGCTGAGCCTTGGGGTTCCGGTCCCAACACCATGCAGCACGGGGACCAGTGACAGACGCTGTGGCCCTGGGACCAGCCAAGCAGCAGGCAGCGCTCCCCGTCCTGGTTGGCAGGGGTCCTGAACCACAAGCCCCCTGGGCCTGCCCCTCACTGCAAGCAGGAGGCCAGGGCACATCTCAGTCACATGTCCTCGGGCCAGAAACTCCCACCCAGGGGGACTCCTGGACACGAAGGAAAGACAAAAACCTGGTGCAGAAGACAGGTATGGACAGATGGGGCGGTGCTTAGGGCAATGGTTGCTGGAAGCCACCTGGGGGACACCTGCCCAGCCCTGCAGGAGGGAGGCCTGGGCCCTCCTATGCTCAGAGAGCTCAGCTCCCAACAGGGCCTGGACCCACAAGGCACAGCCCATGTACCTCGAGGGGCTGCTCCCAACAGCCCAAGTGACAGGGTAACCTGGGGTGGGATCAGAACCCAAAGTATGAAAGCCTCGTGAGTCACCAGTAGAAACACGTGGTTCCATCAAAGGAACGAGAGGGGACAATCGCCTGTGCAGAACCCTGACATGGCGCTAACTCGCCCTGAACACATGGGGGCCGCAAATACTGACTTCCCTCCTGAGAGGTCAGGGTGGATGGGGAAGGACGCGGTGACTTCCTGGGGGAGCCTGCTAACACGACCGTGTTCAGGTGACCCAGGTCAGCACCCACAGTGGTCAGTCAGGTGCCCTGGAAGGGAGAGGACAAAATGCTGCCCCGACTCCGAGGTCTTCCTCCCAAATCCATAAGCCCCATGGGACTGGGAGAAACAGCAGACTCACCCCAGCTGAGGGGCAGTGTATGGAACACCTGACCAGCACGCCTCTAAACCACCAAAGCCCCAAACCACAGCGAGCCTCAGCACTGGCCGCCGCCTCTGGGCCCTAAGGAGACACGGCCATGGAACGCAGCGTGGAGCCCTAGGGGGGTCCTGGCACACAGGAAGGCCGTCGTCAGGGAAAACTAAGGAAACGTGCATAAAGTAGGGACCTTGTTAATAACAAATCTACACTGGCCCACCAGTGGTGACAGCACTCCCGCTGGTGCAAGATGCCAACAGAAGTGGCATGAGGCACAGGAACACTGGACTATCTCTGCGCTTTTTCCAAGACTATTCTAAAATTTAAAGTTTGTTCAAACAAAAAAAGCCAATCCCTTTTCTGCTCAAAACCTTGCCATGATGTTTCTTACTCCCCACATAGAAATTAGATCTGGACTTTGTACCAAACTGGGAGGCTTACAGAAGCAACTTCTAGGAACCTGTGCTAAGGCCTCTGGTTCACTCTTCAAAGCCGAAGCCATACGGCAGCCCACAGGCCACCCTCCTCCTGCTCCTCTGCTGCTCACTGGGCCCTACCTGGGCCTCTGCCCCAGTGTGCTCTACTTGGGGCTCTGCTCACACCTGCTCGCACAGCAGCCTTCCTGCCACCCCAGCACCACCCCCCAGGAGGTTCCCACCCCACCAGGTGTCTGCTCTCTTACCCTCCCACCCCCCCCCAACCGGGCCCAGGTGCAGGAGCTGTGTGAGCAGGGACAGAACCACCTGTCCCCGCATCCCGCGCGTGGCAGGTGCCTGGCACACACGCGTGCTCAGTCAACGTTTGTGCTCGAGGACAAGGACAAGTCAGAGGCCGAGTGGAGCCACTCCTGCTGGAGAGGCAACCATGTCCCCCATGAGGACGAGAGGGGGTGCTGCCCCTGGAGCCAAAAGAGGAAGTCAGTGAGGGGAGGCGCAGCCGTGTCTGAGCCCAGATGACCACCCCCCAGGCCCGGGCTGCCCGTCACTGACCTTACCCACAGAAGGAAACCCGATCAGCGCCACGCGGGCATCGCCCGACTTCATGACGTCGAAGCCCTCGCCTTTGGATGAGGCTGACTTGGACGGCTCCAGGAGCTGGGCCCGGTACTTGGCGAGTTTCGCTTTCAGCAGGCCTAGGTGATACTCGGTAGCTAAAAGACAGAAAGCAAGACGGAAAGTAAGTGTCCAGGTGGTCGGGAGGGCCCCACAGGCAGCCGAATGCTGGGACCCCGCAACTGCCATCAAGATCAGGAGAGGAAAACACCGCTGCTCTGCTTAAAACGCCCCCTGGCTTTTCAGTTCACTCAGAACGAAGGCAGCTCCCCCTAAGACCTCATGACCCGCTGTCAGTGGTTCTCAGCAGGGTGGCCCCACTCCTGGGCTCATTCTGGGCAAGTTTCTGGAGTCGCTGTGCTGGGAAGCCCTCACTGGCACTTATCAGGCCGGGGCCAACGAAGCTGGCTGCCCCGTGAGGCGTGAGTCAGGCCAGCACAGCCGAGAACTGAGTGCTGCACAAGACTTTTCACATACAGAAGCCATCCACTGAGGGAACCGGGCGAGGATCTCAGGGGCCCGGAGCCTTTGTTTTGTGTATTAACACAGGGCATTTCTACAGCGTGGACACATGCTGACGCTTCCAGGAATGGAGCTACTGTGTATGGTAAGGGGATGTTTAGGGGGATGCTACGCCATGTTTTGTTTGAAACTTTACCTAGAGGGGCTCACCAACCCGAGACCCCAGGCTGCGAACAGTGTGACCTCTTGTAGGGACTTCGGTTACCAACGGCACTCATCTGCATTGGTCTGCATCGTGGCTGCCACGTGCCCAGTGATCCTGCCCAGAGGTGCAAACATCTCACTGCTGGTCACTTCACTATATCCTGACTGTGCCCCGACATTTACATACTGAATTAAACCTTGTTTTAATTATAAATCACTCTCCATTCCTCCTCCTTTATGCTACAATTACAGCATCATATTGGTCCCCCCCCCCAAATTCCTGCCTACAGAAGTCATACTCATGGTAGTGAGCTGCATTTCAGAGCAGTAATGGGGCAGGTACAAAATCCTGGCCACATAAGGCACTGTGGCCAGGTGACCAGGCTGCAGCCATTCCTCCATCTCCCACTGCCCGCCCCGCGTAGTGCTTCATTTTGTTTCTCCAGAACATGCTGGCCCACTCTCGCCTCAGGACCTTTGCACTTGCTGTTCACACCATTTCAATCCTATCTTCCCAGAGCTGGCTCCTTCTCAGCTCAACTATGGCCTCTTCAAAGAGGCCTCCCCTGCCCAATCGGGGAGTGGGGGGGATGTCAGGCAGAAATTAAGAGCCTGTGCTGGAATCCCACCCTGAAATTGCTGGCCATTCTAGTTTGGAGAAAGGTCCTTAACCTTCCTGTGCATCAGCTTCTTAATCTGCAAAACAGGGACGTTAACAGTAATAACTGAGTCAGCAGATTCCTGTCAGTACAGAAGACTACGCACAATGACCAGCACAGAGCAAGACTCCAGAAGCCCACCCCCTCCCCCTGCCCCTCGCTGCCTCATGGTCAGTTTACTGTCCTCGAAGCTCTCATCACTCCGACATTCCAGCTGACTCTGGTTCTAGGGTCACTGAGCATGGAAGGTGTACCGGGCCCCTCATGTGCCCAGCACCGTTGACCCTGGAACAACGCAGGTCTGAAATGTGCAGGTCCACACACACACAGATTTTTTCAACAAATACTACAGCACCACACAGCCCGTGGACGTGGAACTACAGACGTGGAGGGCTGGCTGTGGGCCTCCGGCATCCACGGGTGTCAGTGTCTGCAGCGGGTCCTGGAACCTATCCCCCTGGGATATTGAGGCTTGGCTGCATCTTGCTTCTTGGCTTCCCTCACTCCAACAGGGCAGGGTCCCCAGCATACAGTGTGGGGCTCAGAAAATGTTTTAGCGAGCGAATGAGTGAAGTGATGGCAGAGAGAAACGGTCAGGAATGGGCTCAGCGAGTCAGGTTCATGTGGTCCTTCCTGCCACCCCAGCGCATCAGCCTCAGCACCTCCGAAGGGAAGGACCAGGTCCTGATGTCCCCATCCCTCTACAGCCCCTCCTCCACCAGCCACTGCTGGGCTCCCTGCTGCCTTGCTCGAGCCCTACCGGTGACACTCCACAGGGCCGCCCAAGGGAACTTCTAACACAAAGCATGTTTCTTCTCTGCTTAACACCCTCCACCAGCTCCCACTGCCCTTGTAATCCGAAGTTTAGATCTGATACTCCATTATGTGCCTCCTAGGTTGCACTGAGTGCTCACTGTGTGTCTAGTGCTTTGCAAACACCATCAGGTTTATCTCGGTTGTGAGCTACGATGGGACAGGGGATTATCATCCTCATCTGCAGACGAGGACATTGAGGCTCAAAGAGGTTAGAGACTTTCCAAGCTTTACAGCAGATATGTCGTAGAGTTGGGGTCCAAACTCAGGGCCGCCAGACTCGAGTCCTGATTGCCTCCACACCACCTAGGGGCTCCGGGCTGCTGGTGAGGCCAGGTGTACCTGTGGGCGGTCTTCTCCTGGACCTCCCAGCGCAGAAAGCTAGAGCGCCCACGCCCCAGGCCCGGCCCCCAGGAGACCCAGGTTCCAACCCCGACCCCGCCTTTCTGGGTCAGATGCTCGCTCTATGGGCTGGGGATGCTCTGCTCGGCCCCCTGGCCTGGCCCTGAACCGACCTCTCAGGGTGGCCGCAATGAGGCGGGGCGTGGGGCCCGCATCCCGCCCCGCCCGCCGGCTCTCGGCCGCCCCCCGCCCGCTGCAGTCGCGGCCGGACAGGCTCCCCGCCGTCACAGGCCCCGCCGGGCCAGCCCTCACCCTTGTTCTTCTGCGTGCGGGCGATCTCCTTCTCGATCTCGGAGATCTTCTCCAGGATCCCCATGGTGGCGGCGGCTGGCGCGCGCAGCGGCAGGACAGGCGGCGACGGCGGCTCCGCGAACTCTGGCCCGTTGGCCGCAAGAGACCTGCGTGCGCCGGAAGCCCACGGAGAAAGGAGTCCCCGAGCGTCCGGCGCTCCAGGATTCAGAGTCCGGGTGGGCGACGTCGAGGGGAGTGCCAGACACTATTGGTTCCGCCCGCTGGGCCGGCGCGGCTGGGGACCGGGGAAGGGATGGGCCGGGGCGGGGCCAGGCTGGCGGGGCGGGGCCAGGGCGAAGATGGGCAGGAGTCGGGGCGTGGGGCTCTGAGCGGGAGTCTCCGGTGATGAGCTGGGGTGTTGATCGAGGGAAGCCCGCCGCAGCCCGTTTTGTGGGGGCAAAGAACAGGGGCTGAGCTGAAAGCCTGGGGGGTTATTCTGTGTAGAGATTAAAAGCGGGTCCCCAGCTTAGACTTGCTACCTATCACACGCCTCCTGATAGGTTGCAGTATAGACAGCATCTCCTACGAGGAATTCTTGACAAAAAATACTACAGCTGAGTGGAGACCCGAGGGGGAACAGCAGCCGAGTCTAGAAAGTGGTTCATGGCCTGTCATCAAAGTCGTCAGTGATGTAGGTGGAGTTGGAGGCTGCGGGGAGTTAAAGGCTCGAAGTTAAAGGATGTTAGATAGAACGTTATGGACTTTGCCTGGATTCTGGCTGAAAATTTAAAAAGCAGTTATAAGAAGACATTCTTAGGACAATTGTGGAAAATCTGACTTTGGATAGAATATTAGATATTAGAGTTACTATTAATTTTCTTGGGCATAATTATGCAGATTTTCTTTGTTCTTAGCCACTGTACATGGTGGTATTCAGGTGCTGCCTTAGTCTGCTCAGGCTGCCACAACAAAATACCACACACTCGGTGTCTTAAACAACAGAATTTGATTTCCTCACCGATCTGGAAGCTGGAAGTCCAAGAGCAAGTTCCAGGTTGGTTGGGTCTGGTGACAGCCCAATTCCTGACTTACAGACTGCCGCCTTCTTTCTGAGTCCTTACATGCCCTTTCCTCGGTGACTGCTCAGGGAGGGAGACAGCAGAGGACTGCTATCTGCTGTCTCTTCTTATAAAGGCACTGATCCAATTATAAAAACCCTACTTTAAAAAAAAAAAGCACGTCTTTTTTTTTTGGTGGGGGGAGGCAATTAGGTTTATTTATTTATTCTTAGAGGAGGTACTGGAGATTGAACCCAGGACCTAATGCATGCTAAGCATGCACTCTACCACTTGAGCTATTACCCTCCCCCCAGACCCTACTCTTGATTGTGGTGGTGTTTTCATTGGTGTATGTATCTATCAAAATTCATCAAATTGTACATCTGAAATATGTGTAGCTTACTGTACAGGAATCATAATAAAGGTGTTAATAAGTAAACAAAAAATAAATATATAAAATAAAAATATACATAATAAAGGTGTTAATAAGTAAACAATAAATATATAAAAAACCCTACTTAAAAAAAAAGTATAATTGATGTAGAATGTTGTTAGTTTCAGGTGTACAGCAGTGATTCAGTTATACACACATAGATTTGTCTCCATTAGAGGTTATTACAAGATATTGAATATAGTTCCCTGTACTGTATGTACAGTGGGACCTTGTTGTTTATCTGCTTTATAAATAGTAGTGTGTATCTGTTAATCCCAAACTCCTAATTTGTCCCTCCCCCAACACCTTTTCCCTTTGGTAACCGTGAATTTTTCATGTCTGTGAGTCTCTTTCTGTTACATAAATAGGTTCATTTGCATAATTTTTTGAGACCCCACATTCAAGTGATATATGATATTTGTATTTCTCTGTCTGACTTACTTCATTTAGTATGAAAATCTCTAGGGCCATCCATGCTGCTACATAGGGCATTGTTTCATTCTTTTTTATGGCTGAGTAATATTCCATTGTATATAAATCACATCTTCTTCATCCAGTCATCTGTTGATGGACATTTAGTTTGTTTCCATGTCTTGGCTATTGTAAATAGTGCTGCTATGAACATTGGGGTGCATGTACCTTTTTGAATTAGAGTTTTCATCTTTTCCAGATACATACCCAGGAGGGGGATTGCTGGATCATGTGGTAATTATTTTTAGTTTTTTAAGGAATCTCCATACTGTTCTCCATAGTGGCTGCAGTAAACTACATTCCCATCAACAGTGTAGGAGGGTTCCCTTTGCTCCACACCCTCTCCAGCATTCATTATTTGCAGACTTTTGATGATGGACATTCTGACTGGTGTGAGGTGATTCCTCATTGTGGTTTTGATTTGCATTTCTCTGATGATTAGCGATAACCCGCCATCAGCTCTGCCCTCACTCCTGCAGTTCTGCCAGCAATGCGTGGCTCGCTCCCCCACCTCCAGGTCGTTGCTCAGATGTCACCGGACCATCTTCTCAGCCACCGCACCCCATCCCATCTGGCCCTCCCAGTGCCCCAGTGCTGCCTTGCCCTTTCTGTGATGGCTGTCACTCAACACCACATCCAACGTACGTGGCAGCAGGTGTATAGCCTGCGAGGTGCCCCTGGGCCTCTCAGACCAGGAAGAGGCTCTTCTTCCCACTTCCCAGGTCAGGACGTGGACTCAGAGTCCGCATGACGCACAGGAGGTCATGTTAGGATGGAGGGCACAGCCGGGACTGAGAACCTAGGCTTCTTCCTGCAGACCTGCCAGTAAAGGGGCTGCAGCCCCACAGTCCAGTGCTGGGAGCGTCTCCCCTCTCCTGACACCACATCTCAGAAGAGGGCTCGTGATTCTAATCGTTCAGCCAAGGAGAGCCTGGAGGATACTTCATGCCCCCCGGGGCTTTGCCCTGAAAGGGGTAGAAACTCCCTTACTGTTTCAACCTGCTTAAAATTTAAATCTTTTCAACACTATAAACATTTCCTCAAAAATTCAAACAGTGTGTCCAGCCGTGCTGTGGCACTGCCTGGGAGATGGTCCCTAAACCTACTGCTAGAAGTGAGGCCCAGGTGTCCTGCCGCTAGTTAGGGTGGTTTGTCGAAATGAAAATCAAGCCCAGCAGGGTGGACGAGGGCCCGCGGCCTCTTAGAGTGCCCTGGCCGCTGACACCTGGCTTCAGGATGATGCTCGGTGCTGGTGCAGCCACTCAGGGACTCGGGCGTTCCTCGGCACCCCTGGGACCAGCCCATCGACAACGCCTGGGCCAGCGCCAAACAGTGGAGCAAACGGTGAGCAGACAGCCCCACCTGCACATTCTGTGTGTGTCGTGTGATGGTATCAGTCCTGCACACATGCAAAAAGAAATGCTTCTATATTTCTGAAGAAACACAGAAATTAATCAAACAGAGCTCAAACAGAAGCGCAAAGCAGCTGACAACAGGGTGAGGACACACTGGTTCCCAGAGGGGCCTGGCCGGCTCAGTGCGGCCCATGGGGCCTCCAAACACGGGGCCAGAAAGCGGGCTGGGTCCTTGCCACAGAACTGTTTAGATTTACAAATAGGACAGACTTGCTGCTTAAATACCTTTATTATTTTTAAAAAATTATTTGGACATGGATAGCTCTGCAAAATACCTCTCCCACCCAAATCTGCAAACCCTTCCCACAAGTCCTCCCTAAAGAAACAAAATAGTCACACTTTTCGCCCATTCAAATCTAATTTTTAAAAACATGTAAGATTGAAAATCAAGTATTATTTTTCTCTTGGAGCCCGTTAGTAATTTTAAACCACAATGCACGTACTCAATGGCATTTCTTTTTAAAAATTAGCTTATCAGACTATTTTATGAGGAAAACAAAATCAATTCAAGGCCTTAGAATATAAATTCCCTGTTTCTGAAGCAAAAGACACTGAAAGGCCCCTTTGCTCCCCTGGAGGCTGTGAAGCCGACGAGCTGGCAGAACCTGCACGCGGACAGACCTTCCGTCCCGGGTGAGGCGTCGCTCAGTGACGCTGGGGCCGCAGCCGAGATGCTGTCAAGTCTGAGAGGTGGGTGGGTGGGAAGCGGTGGCTCCACACAGGGGAGGCGAGGCCGAGGCTGCGGAGTGGAAGCTTTCTGAGCAGAGGAGTCAGAGCCCGGTCCTTGGGACAGGGTGGAGGAAGACGGTAGAAAATCTGCGATCTGCACTAACTTCTTACTGACGAATACGAGCACCAGCCAGAAACACTGCACACGGTGCCAGAGGGGTGTGAACGACCAAGAAGTTCAGGAAAGAATAACCACGGGGGGATGACTGCCCAAGCTCCTTCGAGAACTGAGAAAAAGAAGTCGGGCGGCTTGTCTGGGGGTTCCTCTCACCCTGACAGACAGGTTTCTGTGAGAACCAGCCTTCATCACAGGTGTGACCAAGAGCTACTGAAGGGGCCACTTCTCCATCCCCTACAGCCCACTGCACCCCAAGGCCGGGCCAGCAAGGACGCTAGCAGGCCCCCGACAGAGCATGGCCCACCCGGGTGGTGGGCCCGAGCCAAATGCCAACACCTTCTCTGCCCACTGACCGCCCCCTTGGGATAACACACACGACCCTGGCAGTTGCGGGGTGACCTCGCCCTCAGTGTCCTGCGTGGCACAGATGCAGGCGGTAGTCAGGCCCTGGGCGCGAGCTGGGGTGGAAGGAAGCCGGTCCCCTGTCCCGGGACTGATGCTGCTGCAGGGCGTCTCCCCACTGCCTGGCAACCTGCTGGGTTTGACTGGAGCCAGCCAGCCTGCTGCCTTTGGGAGTTTCACAATCAGGAAAACGTTTCTCACTCATCCCTGGAGATGGACATGAATCACCTTTCCACCTTTTTTGGGCTTACCAAGTGGGCTGGCTGCACCTCTGCAGGAAGCCCAGGGCCACAGGGAGGGGATGCCCACCACCACTCTCCCCTGTGCCCTCCTTTAAGGCCTCTCCTGGCGCTTAACCTCAGGCACATACAGCACGGATGGCGATGCAGTCACTCTGGCCACCCCGGGGACCACAGGACTCCGTGCGCTCTCTCCGCCCGCAGACACGCGATCTCGCGACCTCCCTGGCTGTTAGAGCTCTCCCTCTCGGGTTGTTAAGTCTTGTAAACCACCGGCAAACGCCAGTCCCCCGAGCCCTGCCCGCAGCTGCAGGCTACAGCGGATGCCACCCT